AAGGCCTCAATGGGAAAGGTGATATTTGAATACAAACCTGAAGTGAGAGAAGGAAGAACCTATCTGGAAACTGGATGAAAGAATATTATAGGTAGACGCAATAACAAGTGCAGAGGCCCTAGAACGGGAGCATGCCTGGCATATTCAATGAGCAGCAAGGAGGCCATAGTGGTTGAAGTGGAGTGAGTGAGAAGAGGGTAGTAGAGGATGTTAGCTAGCTGTTGGGGGATTAGATCATGTAGGTCCTTGTAGATCTTCATAAGCCTTTTGAAATGGGAAGTGATTGGAGGGTTTTGAGCAGAGGAGAGACATAGCTTACTTAACACTTTAAAAGTTCACGTTGTCTGCTGTATAGAGAACAGACTGTAAGGAAACAAGGGAAGAAGCAGCAAGACCAATTTAAGAGGGTTTTACAAGGGTCTCAGCAAGAGATGCTGAGCCAGAGTCATAACAGCAGAAATGATGACCAGTGGTTTTATTCTGTATATGTTTACTTTTGAATGGAATGCCAATGAGACTTACTGATGGATTGGATGTGGGATGAGAGTAAAAGAGGAGTCAAGAATAAAAACTTAGAACAAATGGAGGGGTGGAGTTCAATTACGTGAGATGAGAAAGACTACAGGAGGACCAGGTCTGTGTGTGTGTGTGTGTGTGTGTGTGTGTGTGTGAGTGTGTGTGTGGACGTGGAAATCTGGACCTCAGATTTGAACATGTTAAGTTTAAGATGCTTCTCAGACATCTAAGTGCAGATACGGGTTGCAGGAGAGATCTGGGATGGAGATATTAATATGTAAGTCATCAGCTTATTTCCCTATTTTTTGTTCCTTGTATCGTCTTTTAGCTTTTAAGTGGAGTGAATTGGTTGAGTAGCCATTTGCTATTTTGGCTGCGCAATCACATATTATGGTGGCTTGAGCATATGTCGTGATTGTGTGCTCATACACCATGGATAATCCATTGTAACACCAAGATTATCTGAACCTGCACAAGGGCTGTCTCCTCATATTTTATGGCCATCTGCTCCTACCACAGGCATTTGCTATTGTGCCCATGGTTATCTGAATATGTTCATTGGTTGTAAGCTCATATGTCATTAGAGTTTATCTGTGTGCTGTCCTTATATGAGCATACACCATGGTTGCCTATGTTTACAATGTGGTCTGGCTTCTTCATACTAACTTTAAAACTAGTCTTTGTTTAAATTCTGCTCATGCAGCATAGTTGTTTGAATATCCATGTCATTATATGATGTTCCTTTGCTGTAATTTTCAGTTTATTCACCATGGATGGGTGTACTATATTCGTTTGTACATATGTTATAGGTAGCTACTTATTCACCACGGTCATCGGTACTCGAAAGATATCAGTTCTTCACTGTGGCCACTTACATCTGTATCTCACCTCTCTGCTCAAGTGAAAAACATTTGAGCATGTCTGCCTACTCTTGCACCACAGCCTTCTGTTCCTGCACTATGGCGTTCTACTCCCCTAGCATAGCCATCTGCTCTTAAACTATGTTGCTTAATTCCTGTATCATGGTTGCCATGATACATACAGTGTGTGTGCACACATCACGGTTAAGGACTAATATACCAAATATCTCTTCACATGTATCATGGTTGTTTAAGCATATACCATAGTTATCTCCAGCTACATGGATACTTTATCATGTTTGAAGGCTCTTTGTTCAAGTGTCATGGTTTTCAATTTATGCACTATGGTCACTTGAAAATTCACCAAGTTTGTCATAAGAAGAATTTTGGGCATCTGCTCTCCTACAGTCTTTGTCTGCACTTGTTTGATGGTCATCTGAGCATGTACCATGGATGTATGTTCATTTAATGCTAATATCTGCTAATGTGTTATATTACTCTGTACATATACCAGGGTTGGGTGCTGTTGGGCACTTGCTAAGGCTACCTGCTCTAGTGGTATGTTTTTTTAATTAAAAATTTAATTGTGGTTAAAAAACACATAAGAAACTGTTTTTTAACTGTATAGTTTATTAGAGTTAAATATATTCACATTGTTGTGCAATAGTCCAGTGGCATGCGTTTGATCAGGTACAATGTCTTAATGGAGTGTATACCAAGCCCTCTTTTCTTGTTCAGTGATTATTACGCTCAGGCATTATGGTTTTCTGATATATACCATGGTCAGAGGTTTTATACTATAAATGTCTTCACATGTGTTATAATAATGATATTTGCTAACAAAGTGTTATAGTAGTTGGAGGGCACAAATTATATCCAACCTCTTCTGTGTACGATGACTGTCTTCTCATGCATAATGGTTATTTGAACATGTGCTTTAGTCATGTGTTCATATAATATTACTGTCTTCTTATGTATCATACTGTATACCATAGTTTTCTCCTTCCAAATCATGGGCATTTGCTTCTGTGTCATTGGCATCTACTCTTAATGTGAAGGTTTCCTGCTTGTTTACCATGATCATTTGAACATAACCCATAATTATATACTAGAATAGCATAGTTGAACACATACTGTGGGTCTCTTTGCTCATGCAGCATGGCCATCTTCTATACCCAGAATTGTTACTCATGCACTCATGTTTTCTGAGTATCCATTGTGGTTCTGTCTTGTATTCCATGGATTGTTTCTGCAATTTGGACTTCATATCCTATACCAAGTCTCTGTGTTCCTACAGAGTAATTGTCAGTCATGTGTCATGATTATCTGAGCATTAATCTTTGTCATGTGATCACACAACATTACAGTCTGCTAAAGCACTGTGAATGTTTGAGCATATATCATGGTTACCGCTCATACTATGGATGTTTCCCTTGCCCCAGAGTTGTTTGCTCATGAACCATATTTTCTTATTCATACGCTATGGTTTTCTGAACTGTACTGTTTCTGTTCATTTCTGTAAAATGACCATCAACTTACAGCTCATGAATCATGAATGTCACAGCATTAGACTGATCATAAGACATTGCTGTTTTTGTGAAACAAAAATTGTCAAATATTGGCAACTTTTTATGATGCAGGCTAATAATACATCTATTTCTATCTATAATGTGCACAATGCTTCGTGTCAGAAGTCTGTCTTCTTCGTTATTGTAGTTTTCTATACCTGTATCAGATTGTGTTGGGGCTCCTGTTGCTGATGTATTACATTAAGAATATGCTGATTATGACCTGCTGAATGAGGAGGCACAAGCCACCCATACAGGGCTGGCAGGTACTTCCCTCAGCCTCCAAGTTCCAACTTTAGGGAAGTGAAAACCCCAGGGTCACTTTGATTGAAGGCACAGTTTCAATACACCCATGCAAAGGAAGTAAAGTCACGAGATTTATTACTCACAGATCCCACAATGGGGCAGAGGGGTGCAATGAGCTGGGGGAAGGGCAGTTCTCCATGCCAGGTCATGAGCAAGCAGGAGATAGAGAGCAGGGTAACAAGCACCTATTACTTGTAAGGTGGTTGGGGCAGAGGTCACTAACTTTTCACAGGCTTAACTATAAGTGGTTATTTTAAAAGGTGCCCCGGGAAAAGCAAAGCAGGAACTTGTGGTGGAAATCCTAAGCTCCAGTCCTTATCTAAATGTCCAGACTCTGGGTGTGAGCAGGTTTCTCATACTGTAATGCCTGGGCAGCAACTCAAAATAGCTGTTTTCCCATCACACAGATTCAAGAAGACAATCTAGTATAGATCCTAGTGGCTGATTTTTTGGGGATGAGATCAGTTTAGAAAGACTTGTTCTTCATCTTCTCATCAACCAGAATAGCTCTCCAGCCTGTATCTGTTTTACATATTAGTCTCTTGCATAAACCTTCCTTAGAAAAAAGTTTCACATCTTTCCGTTCCTTCAGAAAGTTAAAACATTGATATGGCTGAAAAAGAGCATGGTGTTGGCTCAGAGTTAGGTCTCCTTCAAGTGGTCAATGTTTCAGATTCAAAGAAGGCATAAGGTTTAGAGATAGCAAGCAAATGCCACTTTACACTGTTTTCTTAACCCCATTTCTTAAGTAAACCTCCACCAGTCCAGAGTTCATAAAAGAACCTTGCATATAGGCAACTCTAAATCACATAATCCTATCGGCGTAATTTGCTGAACTGTTAGGGACTTCTGTACCGGGAGCTTAGGCTTGGATTTATTTTTTATGTTGTGGCCCCTATATGGGGCAGCTTTGTCCTCAACTCTCTTTGTGGGGAAACATTGCATTCCTATTCAAGAGCCATGGTGTCTCATCATTCAGCATTTTCTCAACCTGATTCAGGGGAAACAGTTCATCTACCCCAGGCCCTTGATCTTTTGGAAAATTGCTCAACTGTATCAAGATGAGAATCAATCCCAAAAATGCTATAAAGAGGCTCCAGGTCTTAATATTCTACGATTGTCTACAATATTACACAGTTAACTATGGCAAAGGCATTTGTGATGGTAAAAATCAAATGGGATTGGGGGGAAATAAAATGAAGACATGAGAGATTATTTTAAGCTCTTGGATTATACGAGGTAACTGAGGCTGAGAGAAGCGCTGTGACTCATCTAGTCATGGGAAGACAGGCAAAGAGCTGGAACTGTAACCTAAGACTTCTTTACACTGCCCTTTCTTAGATGGGCTATGGTACACTGCCCTTAACACTGCCCTTTACACTCTTTACACTGCCCTTTCTTAGATGGGCTATGGTACACTGCCCTTAACACTGCCCTTTACACTCTTTACACTGCCCTTTCTTAGATGGGCTATGGTACACTGCCCTTAACACTGCCCTTTACACTCTTTACACTGCCCTTTCTTAGATGTGCTCTGGTAAGGCGGTATTCAAGTGAGGGATATGCTTGGGGTGAATTTCGGTGGCATTGATGAATTAGGGAAAGGGGACTGTCACATTAGGCATTTAGTAACTGGATACCAGGGAAGTAAAATGACTCTAATAGTGTTGAATAAAATCTTTTTTTAAAACCTCTTCTTCCCCCGTCCCTTTGTCTTCTACTCCTTTCCCCTTCCTCTTTCCCTGAACAGGGATCTCACAGGTGTCTGCAAGTTGGTGCCTAAGAAGATGATAATCACACAAATGAGTCACTTCTGCATGATCAGCCTTGGTCTTCTCTTCCTGATTAATATTCTCCCTGGAACAACTGGCCAAGGGGAATCAAGACGACAAGAACCTGGGGACTTTGTGAAGCAGGATATTGGCGGGTAAGAGCCTTTAACTCCTAGAACAAAAGAAGGCTGTGATAAATTCTTGCCTTGGACCAAAACTTTTGGTTTTTATCCCAGATGAACTCAAGTACTCTGGTCCCTGATATTCAGACATTGCACTGTATTTGGAAAAACATCATCAGCTCAGACTCTTAAGGTAGAAAGAGATCTCAAAGTTCTTCTTGGGCAACTCTCTAGCCCGTGTTTGAATTCCCTCTTAGCATTTTAAAAGCAGTTCTCTCCAGCCATTTGCTCTCAATTTTCTCTTTTCTCCCTTGGATCTTCAATGTGTCTCTTTATTGGTTCTGTCCCATTAGCACTTAAATGTGATTAAGAATCTCTCAACTTAAATTTAAAGATTTTATTTTGTTCCTTTTTCTCCCCAAAGCCCCCCAGTGCATAGTTGTATATTCTTTGTTGTGGGTCCTTCTAGTTGTGGCATGTGGGATGCCACCTCAGCGTAGCTCAACAAGCAGCGCCATGTCTGTGCCCAGGATTTGAACCAATGAAACACTGGGCTGCCTACAGTGGAGCGTGCGAACTTAACCACTTAGCCACGGGACCAGCCCCTCAACATAAATTTAAAAATATTCCTTCCAGGGGCCAGCTCCGAGGCCTAGTGGTTAAGTTTGGTGCACTCTGCTTCAGCTGCCTGGGTTGGGTTCCCAGATGCAGACCTACACCACTCATCAGCAGCCACATACAAAATAGAGGAAGACTGGCATAGATGTTAGCTGAGGGTGAATCTTCCTCAGCAAAAAAACCAAAACAAACAACCAAACAAAAGTTCCCTCCACTTAGTACCTTAAATCTTTGCTTCTCTTCACAGTCATGCTTCTTGAAGAAGGAGTTTTCTTTATTGTCTCTACTTACCCACTGCTTGTTTTTCCACCACTGCTGTCTGACTTCCAACCCCATGACTCTAAGGCAACTTCTGCAACCAAGATGACCAGTGTTGACTCTGTTGCTAAAATGCACACTTGTTGGTTCTTATGTTACTCAATTTCTTTAGTAGCATGTAGCAACATTCAACATTGTTGACTTTTCTCTTCTTCCGTAACTACTTTTTATTATGAAATAAAACATATATAAAAATTGCATAAAATATAAATGTATAGTTTAAGAATAATTCTTTCTTTGACTTCAGAGACACCATAATTCCCTGGTTCTTAGATTAGGTTCTCTAGAAGCAGGGCCTGAGACAAGGATTCCTAAGCAAATGGATTCTTGAGAGAGTCCTCTCAGAGAAACTTGTAAGGAAGTAAGAGAGGTGAGATGGGGAAGGGGAAGAAGTAAAGCAAAGGTGCGATTTTACTTGAAGCGTAGCCTCCATTTGACCTCATGGGGAGATTTGGAGTGTGAGTGGCACTCCAGATTTGGCCCACCTTGAGCCTAGGGGCCTGGGCTTTTGTAGCCTCATGTCAATCAGTCATTGCCTGTGAGCTGACTGGTAGAAGACATAACTTCTCAGGCATTTTAGGGTGAGGTGGCTCCCTTAGGTCAATGGTAATAATCAGAATTAGCTGGGGGATGGTTTCATTGGCCCGGGAAAAGAGATCTGGACATATTACCAACAGTAAATAGTATAATTGGTTTTCCTCACGGTTTTATGGCTATGCTTTTTAGAATATTTTCCACAATATTACATAGCTCTATCAGAGGCCTTTGTGATATGAAGATCTTTTGCAATCTCTTTGGTAATCTTCTCTTTCTTTGTTCATTTCTCAGGTGTTGGTGTTTTTCTTTGTTTTGTTCTAGGTGCTCTTCTTACCATATAGACTGTAAGTGATTTTATCCATCTCTGTGACATTGTTACCTTATATATATGCCAATGACTCTTGTCTGAATTGCCGTTCCTAACTTCTCTTGAGAATCAGACCTCTAAATCCAACTATGTATTGGACATGTCCACTTGGCTGTTCCGTAAACTCCTTAAACTAAGCATGTCCAAAGTAGTCTCATCATTTCCATCTCCCTCCTCCACTTTAAAAACAACAACAAAAACCAAACAACAAGCAAACATAACATGCTCCTCTTCCATCTCTCTTTGTTTCAATCAACGACACCACCATACAGCCCATTGCTCAAGCCAGAAACTTGGAATCATTTTTGCCAGTTTTCTACCCTTCGCTCTCCAGATTGAATCAATCACCAAGATCTGTCATTTCTACCTCCCGCACCCCTTGAATTCATTTACTTTTTCTAACTTTCCTCTTACCACCCTAGTTTAATCCAGTGTTGTCTTTCACTTGGACAACTGCAAGAGTCTCTAATTGGTCTTACTTCCTGAAGTCTTGCTCCCAACAAAACTGGCTTCCACTCTGTAGCTAGAGTTTCTTCTACAATACAATATCTATCCTGTTTAGAGTCATTTAATGGCTTCCTACTGTCCCTGGATTAAAGTCCAAACATTTTAACATGATTTTATAAGGCCCATTTTGATCCAGCCTCTACCCATCTTGTCAGCCTTATTTCGTAGTCCTCCTGTCACCAAACTCTTGTGTTCTTTAGCTATATTGAACTTCTTTTGACTTTAAAATCCCATCACATTCGACCCCCTTAGGCTTGAAATATTTCAGTATTACATAGGATATTTTATTGTTTGATAGTGGCTTTTTTGTTGTTGTTTTACATTTGGCTACTGTCCCCTATTCTTGGAAGCATTAGGACTTGTTCCTAATTATTTTTGCAGGGTTGATTATCTTAGTGTACTTTGAGTCTTTCCATCTTCTATCACATTTTCAACAGTAATCTCTATGGCTGAGGGCTACCGATCTGGACTGATATGTCCTTAGAAAGTTTTCCCATGAGGCCCTTTTTGTTCTTTACCCCATTCTGGAAAAACACACTAATTCTATTTCATTAAATCCTCATGTACTGACTTCACTGGGCTATGATAGATGCTCTAAATAAGATGGAAATTTTAAATAAATGAACCTTACCTCTTCAAATGTTAAAGCCTTTTTAATTTTAACTTTGAGAATAAAGTTCTCTAAAAATGTATTGCATCTTTTATTATAATCCTAAGCAAGGATTTTGAACAGAATAGTCCCTTTTATTGGTGGCTTTATGGTCATCATAAAGAATATTCAGTATGTTCATTCTATATCTGCCTTTTTCATTTTGTGTCTCCATCCTCAGTGTTAGTTGTGACCTTTCTTGTTTACATGGGTTTGTTTACATGCTGTTGGTGCTTAGAAAACCAGATAAAGAAGCCTTTTAGTAATTATATTAAAGAGAAGCCCAAGAGATCCTGCTTGAAAAAGCAGAAAGAAGTGCTTGAATATAACACAGGGGCATTAGAAACTTTGGGGGGTTTACTTTCTCCCAAGTCCAATGCAATTCATGCTTTGGAGGGATGAGACAACTAAAAGCCTGGCTCCAAATATTTGGTTTGGAACTGTATTTGTATTTTCTAGAAATAAAGGAACAAATACAAATTTAAAACATATGGTTTATGCTGATAGTTCCGATATTTAGAAGAGCTGCTCCTTCTTTTTGTTTGCTTGTTTTGATATCTTCTGAATGATGTTTTTGTGTGTTGAAAAAAATCCATTTGCTGCATTATTTTATCTACTTTTAGTGTTTTATTCAATTGAATCACCTGGGATGGCTACCCAAGCAGCTACAACAATCAACAGTAGTTTATTGACCAGTACTTTGTATAGCTCATGTGCCCAATGCAATGGTTCTCAATGTTCAGTATGTGTGAGCAAGGAAGAAGGCTCCACATCTGGAGATTGTAATTTAGTAGCTCTGGGGATAGCGCTTAAAAATCTGTATTTTCTCAAATGCCCCAATTGATTCTGATGTAAGGAATCTTTTACAATACTTTGGGGACACAGTCCTTGTCTTGAGGAACTAACAGTATAGTTAGGGATGCGATATTCTGGAATTTCAGAGTAGCAGACTTGGGAAAACCCACAGAGAGCATCTAGTCTGAGTCCTCATTTTCTGCCTGAAGAAATTGAGGTCCAGAAAAGGAAACGGACTTTTCTAAGACATTATAGCAATTTAATAGGAGAGCTGGGTCTGGAACACTAGTCTCTGATTCCCAGTCCCATATTCTTAAGGAAAAGCTACAGGGAACAATTTCAGCTTCACATAATAAAGACATTTCTTAGACTCTTACTTCCTGGTCCAGTATTTTGACCATCGACAAATGAGAACTATATGTGTGAACAGTGTTAGGTTGAACCATTATGAAACTGTCATTTTTCTGGGTCAAAATGGTCAAATATAAGCAATTTCCTAATGGGCCAACCTAAGTATCAAATAAGCGCCAAATGGATCTTTTGTCCAAGTCTGACTGCAATTTATTGAAACTTGAGATGTGTATCAGTCAGGACCCCAAAGAAAACAGATGAGGCATTTCAATTAACATTGTTTGAAGAGGGTAGAATTGCAAAGGGACTAATTGTAAAGGTATGGTCTGGGTGCAGGGGCACCCCAGGGGATAGGGGAAGAACCTAAGGCCGGCAGCAGTTATGTCATATAAAACATGTTTTTAAAAGAGGTGCAGAGACCTTTGGTGGAGGAGATTTCACAAGGAGAGAGCCAGGGGATTACCTACTCAAACTTTGCTCTTCTTCCTCCCTCTGATCTTGAGACAAGGAGGCCAAACCCAAGTCGAAGCCAGAGGCCGTGGGAGCCCTGTTTGTCTAGTTCATACGGGTCAGCCTTATAGGAAAGAGAACAGGGTGGAGAAGAGTGGAGAATATATCTGGAAGGGGAAATGAAAGACATCAGGCACAACGTCTCATTTTTACACGTTTAAGAATAGAGTAGAAACTGATTTTGGATGGATGTGACACCATATCAACACTTTTTCTGCGTCAAGGTTATATGGTGGTGGCAGCGGTGACAGCAGATACGGTGAACTTAAGAGTAAATGGTTGGGGGATTGCTTATTTGTTTCCTTGCCACGTACATGGCCTGACTTGTGTACCAAAGGTGTCAGTTATTACGTACATTTTCATCTTGGAAGATATTTTCTT